ATAATAATAATATATCAAGACTAAATTAATACGCTATTATGTGTTTATTCTTATATCACCAAATTAATTGAATTATTTATTGCGTTCTTTTGAATTGATTCCATTTAGAAAAATAGCTCGTTTCTTTTTTTTTCGATATTTTTTTGCAAAATAAAAAAAAAAATGGAAATACGAATAACCCAAGAGAATTTACAATGCAAATAATTTCGTAAAAATATTCACTTTTCTAAAAAATAAAAGAAACTGTACTTTTATATAGGAAAAAGTAAGAAAAAAAAGTTGTAAACAAACAACAAGAAAACAATTCATACTATAAAAAAAGAAATAAATCAATAAAATGAAGTATTATTTACAAGCATTGAAAACGTAGAATTCATTATTTTCTTTCATACAAATTTCATTTCAATTGACATATTGAAAGCTTTTGTAGGATATGAAAAACAAATCAAGGAATGAAAAATTTATTTCTATGTTCACTTCTGATATCCCTCTCGTCCCATTCTAGAATGTGATCGAAGAAAAAGTGTGGGGGAATGGAAAAAATTATTGATCAATGCCGACAAGCTTGAAAGATTTTTTAATTTTTTAGAAGATCACAATGATTGAAAATTTAAAACCTAAGGCTAAATGAATATACATATCCGTTATCATATTGAAAATTTTATAAAAAACAATCGGCATTTATTATTTTTATCCTAGAAGAAAGAAAGAAACAAATTTGGCTTACTAATATTTCACTGAGCAAATTTCGGTTATTTAAATAAAATTTGTCAAATTACCGCTATTTGAGAAAACAATAAGAAAATGAAAAAATGATTGATCATAAAATGAAAGAAAAAAGTCAGCAAATGGTAACATAACACATAATAACATCAATTTAGATTTAGATTAAAAAAAAAAAACATTTCAATTTAGTAAAAAAACGAAAAATTTAAGAATGAAATCATTCAGTAGAATAGATAATTTTATTAATCTTAAATTTATATAGCAAGAACTTTTTTTCAATCTATCTTTAATCTCTTAAAAGAACATTTTAAGTATATAAGAAATTGGTCAATAAAATGAATGGATTCATGATAATAATAGTAATGATAATAATAGTGATAAATAACAAATAATAAATAGTGATAATAATGACAATAGTATTAATAACGATGATAATAATAGTAATAATAATAATGACAATAGCATAAACAATAATAATAATAATAAAATGATTTTTTGGGAGAAAAATATGCTAGCTATAAAACTAGTTAAATTTATTAATTGCATTAACTAATTAATTATTGCATTACTTACAAGATTTTTTTAAGAGAGAGAGAGACAGAGAGAGAGAGAGAGAGAGAGAGAGAGAGAGAGAGAGAGAGAGAGAGAGAGAGAGAGGAAGAGGGGAGAGGAAAGAGTTGAAAAGGCATAAAATTAGGAAATAACTGTGAATGACTTGAATAATTAAATAAGCATTGAAATTAACAGATAAGAAAAAGTTTCCACTGTGAACTTTTTTTTGCAACAATAAAAATAGAAAAAAAGAAAAAATACCAAAAAAAAAGGTTGAAATAAAGCAAATCTAAGAGATAGCATAGCAAAAAAAAAATAACATAAAATCATAATAATCTCTGTCATTAACAATATTTCAAACGATAACATTTGAAATAAAACAAGTTTTGGAAAATGATGAATTGAAAAATATCAATAATAATCACTCATACAATTACAGTAGTTTCTACCATCAAAAACATTTAACAAATTATAGTTAAAATGTTGAAACAGTCTCAATATGAGAACAAAAATGACGGAGTGTCATAAGATCGTACAACAACGACATATGGCTCTTCGGGTTGGTTGCGCTGACGTGGGTGGCGTAGCAGGTGCAAAGTATGCGTGCACCTCCACGTCTGGTTTAAAGTTCTGCAAAAACATATTAAATGTTATTTTCAATAATCATAAAATAAGGAATACATTTTAATTTATAGTTGAAATCGAATGCAAAAATAATAAATTCAATTGATAAAGAAAATTTTAAAAAAAAGAGAAAAGAAATTAATTACAAATTGGGAAAGTCACAAAATTGAATAAATTATAGAAAGAATTTTGAATATTTTCATAAAAATGATTAAATTGCTGACTAAATTAATCAGATTAAACAGGCTACAATTAACAAATTATGGTTAAAATGATAATATTAATTTTTTGAAAGATTTGATATCATTATTGTTGAATTACGAAGAATACCTTAAAGCGTTTAATGGCATCTTTGGTAATATTTTGGCAATCGTATAGATCAACTCGTTGCAAGGTGCGCACTTGTCTCATGTAATCTAGGCTAATATCTGTGATTTGAGGACAATTATCCAGCTCTAATATTTGCATTCGATCTTTTAAATGATAATTCAAACAAAGTTGTCGCAAACCCGCATCGGTGATAAGTTCACAGTGTGAAAGACTCTGCAAAATATAATTTCATGTAAAATATGAGAATCTTAGAGAGCAGTATAGTTATTATTATTATTAAAGTTAACTATTAATATTTAACAATATCATTGAAACAATCTTTTATTTCTCTCATAAAAATAATCATCCTCATTTCTATTCTTTACTTATCAGTTATTAGATGCTACAACAAATTTAAAATGTGTAATTATTTCACCAGAAGATCGAATTTTAGATTCAAATTTTTAATCCATTTATAATGAAAAGTGAAAAATTTTTAACATTGTTTAAGTTGTATAACTATATAACTAAATTACAGCATTATTATAGCAACATTACATAACTATATAACTAAATTATAGCATTATGCTATATTGGAATTCCTATAAGTAAAAGTATACTCTTACCAAATTAAGAAGACATGGGCATCCCTTGCTGAAATTATCCAATGTAATATCAGTTAACAATGAACAATCCTCCAAATCCATCCTTTCCAATTCATGACAGTTTTTAGCTAAAATACTGAAACCTTGATCTGTCAACAGGGAACATCCGGACAACTCGAGATCCCTAAAAGATGAATTGTTTATGAAACAACTGCAAAAATTTTAAAAAAAAGATTAAAAATTTGTTTGAGAAAAGCGAACTTTTTAGAATTCGAAAAAAAGAAAAAACAAAATGTGATATTTGTTATCATTATATATTCAATGAAAGTGAACATGAATTTTAAAATTAAAAAAATTTTAAAATGAAAGTCTAAAAATTTTAAATCAAGTTAAGATGATCCATTATTTGATAGATAATAATAAAAGAATAATCATTCCAAGAAAAAAGAAACAGACAGATATTTTGCTTATTTTGTGGAAATGTTGAGACTAATATAACTTACTTTAATCTATGACATCCATTAGCAAGAGAGATAAGTGCCCTGTCGGTAATTTGCGTACAAGATGATAAGCATAGGTATTCCAATTGTGAGCAACCAGCTGCGAGATCAGCTACCGTATCATCAGTGATAAAACATCCAAGTAAATTGACTGTTCGTAATTCATAACAAAAATTTGGCATTTCCGCAAAAACATTTTCTGTCAACTAAAAATTTTAAATTTAAAATTTTGTAGAAAAAATTGTCATTATTAAATTTTCTATTTTAATTATTTATCACTTCTTTTTATAACTTTTCGAGGATGCAAA